ATCAGTAGCTGCAACCTCTGGTCCCTCTCTCCTGCTTGGAGGATGGGGAGTGGAGATGGAAGTTCCAAGCTTCCGACCCAGGTTTGGTCTTTCCCGTGACCAGCCCCCATCCTGACGTTACCCAGGAGCCCACAGAGAGTGACCTCATTGCGCCAAAGATGCTCCTATCACCCAGGAAAGCCCGAGGGATTGAGGAGCTCTTTGTCAGAAACTGGGGTGAAGGACCAACATTGGAACAAAAGATCCTCCTAGCGCCTTTACGGCTTACAGAGATTTGGAGAGCTCTGGTCTGCAGCCAGGGACAAAGACCACAATGTATTTATGTATTTATTATTATAGCACAGTACCCCACGAACCTTAATAGTTCATTGCATTTTAAAATCCCTGCCGTAGAGGTTAGTGGGGGACTGTTAACCAGCAGGTTTGGTTTATCTGCAGTTCCTAGCATTTCATTACCACCAGGTCTAAGGAAGGAACAGAACCTCAGTTGACATCTACTAAATTCAAGACACCGATTATTTTGCATTTTAAAGTCTAATTGATTCCTTTCTTAGGTTTAATTTATTCTCCTTCTTGTCTTCCATTCTGTGGAGCTCTTTTCTGCCGAGTGAGGCAGACAGCACGAAGGTAATCATGGGAAGCGAATTGCTCTGCGCGCCGGCCCTCGGCGACCACCAGAAGGAAAAGCGGAAAATCATTCCTGGTTAAAGCGAATCTATGTTTTGGTAGCAAAACACCCAAGTCACACACACAAAAGAACAGAATATCTAGATCCTGTCATATCTGTGTGCCCACTGTGACAACCACGGCAGCCATTTAAAACTGGAAACACTTAGGGGCTCTGTGATTTCAGAACAGAGTGAGGGAGGAGGTGAAATAATGGGCAGCTCAGGGAAACGGGACACTCCCCCTTCCCGGCGGGAGAAACCCACCACCTTGAGGCTTCTTGGACCCCAAATATTTTACTTTGTGTTGTTACATTTATATACTTCTTTAATAAATAAATAAATAAATTGATTGATTGATTGATTTTTTTAGAGAGGGAAGGGGAGAGAAGATAGAAGCATCGATTGACTGCCTTCTGCACGCCTCCTACTGGGGATCGAGCCCGAAACCCAGGCATCTGCCCTGACCAGGAATCAAACCAGCAACCTTCTTGGTGCATGGGACGATGCTCAATCCGCAGGCGCATTTCGAAGAGTGGGCCAGGCCATTTATATACTTCTAAAAACTAGAAATATATTTAAGATAAGTTTAAGTGTTAATTGGGTATGATGAATTCACCCGTGAGAGGGAATCAATTTAATCAGATGGCTTTCTTCTACCTCTTCAGAACAGCCACATTCAGAGGGCTCAGGAAAGGTGAGTCTGAATTACAGAATTCTCCTGGGCAATCGCCCTCCTGGCGGGTGGGGCCGGCAAAGGGGCACCCTCAGTCTCTGGGTTGGGAGAGGTCAGAGGAAGGAGGCCTCTGTTGCTGAAAGTTGCGCAAGGTGCAGACAGGTAATTCGGGAAAGTCAAGTCCCCAAAGGAATGCAAAGTCAGAGCCAAAACAAACCTTCTAAAGTGGGTCAGCAGCCCCAGAGGCCAAATCGTGAGTGACAACTAAGATAAGACGCCAAATGGGTTAGGAAAACAAAACAAAAGAGGAGACCTGAGAAGTGGAAGGAGCAGGCAGGACCCACGCAGGCAGCTTTTCGAGGTCAGGCTGACGGCATTTAGAATTAAAGTAGCTCAGAACTAACTCCAACCTCACCTCCCCCACCCGGCTTCCTCCTGTGGGGGTTCCCTAGATTTGCCTGGTCCAGGGCTCTGAAGTCTGAATCATGCATTTCCAAGGCGAAGGAGGTTCCTTGTCATTGTCACGGGGGATGAGTTACTGGAGCTCTTGTTGGGATCGAATGTTCAGGTACAGTTTGGAGGGTGGGTTGTGTGTAGCAGGGACCTAGGGGTCTCGTGGGGATGTTTGCAGAGAGGAAGGCTAGAGACAGAAACTCAGGGGGATGGTGGCCGCCGGTGGCTTGAAGACCCCAGTGCACCTCTGGTTTCTGACGTGTCAGGTCTGAAAGACTCTGGAGGAGCCCCAGGCGTCGTCCACTGAGATGCCCCCCTTTAGGAAGGACAGCTACCAATTTAGGGCTTACTTTGACCCTGCACATCCTACAGCATTTTCTAGATCCTTTCAAGGTGGCACAGTGCCTCCCACCGCAGGTACTGTTAGGGTCCCCGAAGGAGGAACGCACGAGGCCAAAGTGGTAAAGGATCATACATTTATCAGGTCATCTGGAACCCACGTGGGCTGGGCCCCAAAATGGCGTCAGCACCCGGGGATGGGGAGTCAGAGGTTTTAAAGGGCGCTAGGTGGGTTTTCTCTGGGCAGAGAATTGCCTGCGCGGGTCCGGATCCTGGGCAGGTCTGGAGGGGAAGGATAATGGTCTTAGCAAGTGGAATGCGGTCTCAGCGAAAGGGAATGTCGATGTGAACTGGCCTCAAGGTCAGTTCCCAGGGGAGGAGGTATCGATTCGATTATTTGAACAGACCGAACAGGTCCGTGTCACCTGCCAGGCCTGTGGCTACCGATGGGCTACTCTTGGGGGAGGAGTACAGTGGGTTGTTACAGCAAATGCCGCTGTGCTGAGGTGAGCGCACTGGTTCTTTTGGCTTCTGTCCTCTGCAGATGCTTCCTACGTGGCCCTTTCCCCAAAGTTATGTGATTACTTCTTTATGTGAGTCAAGCACAGCAATAGCGCTTGGCATGCGGTTCTCACAGGCCCTCCCAGCATCCGGGCCCCGTGCCTCCTTCCCCAGAGCCCTCATTCTGTCCCGTGGTCCACCTCGTCCAGCCACGAGGCCCAGAAGTCACCTCTCGCTCAGCGTCTGGGAGGCCCTGATTTGTCTAAGGGTCCTCCCTTTCCTTTCACCAGTCTCTGCTTCAGGAATGAACATATGACCAACAAGACGTGAGGGAGACATGCGCTCACGTTTCTGGCAGGGTTCCCTCACTCCTAAGGAAGCCTGTTCTTTCTCTGTTCCATGCTGAACGTGGACCTACTTCCCAGAACCTGCTGCTTGCCAGAGGTCACACACAGGGGGCTGGGTAGATGGAGATAACCACAGAGAAATGCAACCAGGGTCCTGATAGAAGGTCCGTGGAGCAGACTGCTTTTACTAGTAGCATGTGATAACAAATCTCACTGTTTATGCCGCTTTAATCAGGGCTCTCTGTGTAGTGCCTTCAAATCGTCCTGTGGATACAACAATATAAGTCAGATATTTTTCTCCCTATTCTATAGATGAGGCTATTGAGGTTAACATTAAGCAATGTTTCTAAGAGTCGACAGCTCTTCAGGTAGGGTAGGGATTTGAACCCAATGTGGCCCTTCTAAGACTGTTTTCTTAACACTGAGAACACAAAGCCCCTAGTTCAGTGGTCAGCAAACTGCGGCCCCTTGAGTGTGGCTCTTCCACAAAAATACCACATGCCGGTGAGCACGTACAGTGCGATTGAAACTTCGTGGCCACACTCAAGGGGCCAAAGAACCGCATGTGGCTTGCGAGCCGCAGTTTGCCGACCACGGCCCTAGTTGAAGTGATTAATCCGACTGTGGGTCAGAAGGTTATGAACGCAGAGGGCTTTGGTTCTCCCAGGGGTCCCAACCCAGGTGGCTGACACTTCCTCAGTGTACTTGTCCTGGGTTGGCCTGGTGAGGACGGTGCTTTCCAGGGATAGAACCCAGGACAGTTTGACCCAGGCGTTTACCTGAGACAAAGAGAAGTTCCTGCCAAAAAATGGAAATCTCTCTGTTACATAAGGACTCCTTAAACACCACTTTCTCGGTGCAGGTTTTCTCCTACATCCCAGGTTTGCTCAATCACAGTACTACATGCTCTCACCAGACCCTTGTACTTCTCCAGTTATAAGCAGGTGTCCACTATCTGTCTTCCCTGTAGACCGGTGGTTCTCAACCTTGGCTGCACATTAGAATCACCTGGGAATCTTTTTAAAATCCTGATTTCTGGGCCTCATCCTCAGGATTTTAAAAAGATTCCCAGGTGATTCTAATGGGCAGCCAAGGTTGAGAACCATTGCTGTAGACTATAGACTACCCCTTCCTTGTCCTCTGGGCTTCCTTTCCTCCAAGCCCACCTCCAGCCCAGCTATCTGTTTGGTTGTCACACCAGGTGACAAGTGCAGCTGCACATAGGACATCTATGGGGATGGGACAGTCCTGAGCGCCGTGCTGCATGTAGGCAGGGGAGTGGGTTCCGAGGTTGGGCCGCCGGGGGATGCTGCCTGCTTGCGGGTCTAGGGAGAGCGTGCCACGCTGACAGGACATAGAAAGGAGATAGAAGGAAGCTACAGGTGAACCTCATCCATTCCAGAGTCTGGCTGGAAGCTCCATACGTAGAAAAAGGAAGTAGTGCAGCCCTAACTGGTTTGCTCAGTGGATAGAGTGTCAGCCTGTGGGCCAAAGGAGCCCAGGTTCGATTTGGTTGCAGGCTCCTCCCTGGCCACCAATTGATGTGTTTCTCTCCCATCAGTATTTCTCTGTCTTTCCCTCTCTCCTCCACTCTTTCTAAAAATCAATAGGAAAATATCCTCAGTTGAGCATTTAAAAAAAAGAAAAGAAGTAGCATACAACTTGTTTACCAGCAAGACAAACAGACAGACAGACACACACACACACACACACACACACACACCCCTAAGGGACCTGAGCTAGTTCTTTCATTACTTCCTTCAGTTACATTTGATTAACTTTGAAAAAGTTAACTGTCATTTGTAATTTAGTTCTGATTAGAAAATACTTTGAGAGTACCCCAAAATGTGTACTTCATACAGACTTTCACTAAAGTATAATTATTGCGTTGTATTGAAGTGTGTTTTTTTGGGGGGGAGAAGGGATGATTTTGGCTCCTTCTAAAGACAGATGTATTGTATGGAAACTAGTAGGTATAGGTGTCCAGTGAACAATTATTGAATTTAGGAAAGAAAGTTGATCGTTAGTTATACTTTATTTCTATGCAGGAAATAAACAGAAATGAGTTTACTTTAACAAAGAGTGTGTATTACGAAGGATACGGCTGCAAAATACTGGCTGAAAAAGGCACCAAATAGGGAACCTCAAGGTTGTCAGAAGCAAAGGGAAAGTGTTCGGTGCTGTGTTCAAGGCCAGCTCAGGGCCTGCTGTTTCTTCTTCCTTCACCATGAATAGGCATCTGTTTGGCACAAAGCTCATAGTCCTGCGCTGGGCACATGGGGTGTCCATGAAGAGGTGTACTATACAGTTCCCATAGGGAAGACATCACCACAATCCCACTGATCTTTGAAAGTCAGAATATGTTCGTATTATTCTCCCACTTAAAGACATCCATTGCCTATTGTGTAGCGAGAGCAATCTCTAGCCTATGTATGGTACCTAACTCACAAGGTATTCGCAAGTCGCTCTCCTCCCATCTGTCCTACATCCCTATTGGTCCTGTCATCCTTTGAATTCCCAATTCTCCCGTCCATGCAGTTTTATCTGCCTGAAGTGGCTCCCCTCTTCCTTACAGTTAATGCCCACTCATCCCTCAGGTCAGATCAAACTTCACTTATTCAGGGAGACCTTCCTGGACTCCCTAGACTGGGTCTTCATTGTGAGGCAACACTGATCGAATGAGACATAGCTATCATCCTCAAAATAAACAATGTCATAAGCTCCACTTTCAGAGAATTGGTGGAGAGTTGGCAGGATTTAAAAGACAGCTGAGCCCAGCTGTCGTTGCTCAGTGGTTTAGTGTCGACCTAAGATCCAGGAGGTCACAGTTCGATTCCCAGTCAGGGCACATGCCCAGGTTATGGGCCCAATTTCCAGTAGTGGGATGTTCAGGAGGCAACCGATCAATGAGTCTCTCATCACTGATGTTTCTATCTCTCTCTCCAGCTCTCTTATTCTCCATGAAATCAATAAAAACTTATTTAAAAAAAAAAAAGGATCAGAGAATGAGAGTAACCCTATGACAGTGGTTGGCAAACTGCAGCTTGCGAGCCACATGCGGCTCTTTTGCCCCTTGAGTGTGGCCACAAAGTTTCAATCGCACTGTACGCGCACACCCACATGTGGTATTTTGTGGAAGAGCCACACTCAAGGGGCCGCAGTTTGCCGACCACTGCCCTATGATATAGCAGGAAAAATAACATTCTACTAGCCTACCACTCTTTTTTGGTTTTGTTTTATTTTTTGTTTTTTGGTTTTGTTTTTCTTGCCTCTCTTGAAAATTAGTTATTTTTATGACTTCGGAGGAGAAACCCTATATTCTACTTTCTATAGATAGAGTCAACACTAAAGAACTTGTGAGTGTATCTGCTAGATTTGAATTGTACTGCAGCTAGTGAGTGTGGGGGCAGGGTGCACATACCTTGCAGAAGGTGCAGCTTGGGGCCTGGTAAACATGCTTATCTGTTTTATTTCATTAGATTCTTTCATCAAAATTATAATAGATTCTCAAATCAAAACCCTTCCATCAAAGCCAACAATCACCTCTTCACCCATGGCAGTGTTTAGTGTGGTAAGTGAGACTTGAGGCAGATTCTAGGGACTGCTTCATGTAAGGAATTACAATATGATGAGTAGTTATATACAACAAATATGTGAGTAACACAGTGTGACCCACTCCCATCAGGATCAACATTTCACTACATGAAATATTCATGCAGTCACTTTCTAAAAGAAACATTCTATGAAGCGCCTGGGAAATTATTTTGTGACTTGTCTCTCCTTTGGCCATTTATCATCTGTGCTTTTCCCGTGTTTTATCTCCTTTCGTGTGCATTCTTTCTAAATTAAGGATTCTAGCAGAATTAAGTCTGATGCATGTTAATGCCATTCTCCATTGTTAGTCGTTCTCGGAAACTTATAAATATTTCATGTTGGGTATTGCCAAATGTTAGGCATCATGGTTCTACATGAATAATCTTCTGCTGATAATTGCTAGCAAGGCTTGTGGTTTACTGCCTTGCTGGGGTTCATGGAGACTTATTGACTTAGAGCTAATTAAATTGTTGCCTGCTGCTTTCGAAATTCCACCGCAGAAACACGCCTGTCATTTGGCAGCCTTTGTGCCCCAGGGCTGAGTCGGATGGAGACGCTGACTTCTTTCCTAGGTGCTTGTTGGGGTGGGCATGGGGACACGGGGGGCTTTTCACAGGTGAAGGTTGTGTGCACACGAAAACTGATGCATGAGCACTGGTGTTCTCTGTGTGTTTCTGTTTGTGTCTGGGGTTTCTGAGCTATTGGAACTCTGGGTTTAAGTTGCTACGTTTTCCTTCCAGAATCGCTTTCTGAATAGGAGGGCTCGTTGGTGGTCATACTGATTTCTTTTACCAAATTGCTTTTAGGGAACGTTCTAAAACCACATGTTTTGATGCATGATTGTGACTACATGAATCGTTTGGGATCATTTTACCTCCCTGAATAGGTTTTTATTTATTTATTTGTTTGTTTGTTTATTTTTTATATCAGAGAGGAAAGGAGAAGGAGAGAGAGATAGAAACATGAATGATGAGAGAGAATCCTTGATTGGCTGCCTCCTGCAGGCCCCACCCTGGGGATTGAGCCTGCAACCTGGTCATGTGCCCTGACCAGGAATTGAACCGTGACCTCCTGGTTCATGGGTTGATGCTCAACCACTGAGCCATACTGGCCGAGCTAAGTTTTTCAGAAAAATGACTGAAGAAGTTGGAAGAGTAGGACTACCCGTCATCTGTGGTCACATTAAATCTCTGAGATCCCTTCACATCAAGTTTTAAGGACTAGAGCTGATGCAGAAGCCAAGCTTTGCCCTGGGGCCTTCTGACTCCTGCCACGAACCCGGCCTCTTTGTTGGTCGTGCCATTTCGTGTCCTCTGCCTCAGTTTTCCCCTCTGGGAAGTGGGGATGGTCATGTACTATCCTCTAGGGTTGTTGTGAAGATGAAGAGACCACATATTCACATGCTTTAAAATAATAAACGAGTGTGAGATTGAAACGGCCCCGGTGAGGTTGAAGCAGCCCCGGTGAGCCCCAGTGAGGTTGAATCAACCCCGGTGAGGTCAGCATGGCCCCGGTGAGGTTGAAACAGCCACGGTGAGGTTGGGACTGCTCCAGTGAGGTTGGGACAGATAATGGGGACCAGTATAGACTAATGAACAGGGGTAGATGCAGAGGCAGAGCAACATTGGACAGACTGTCAGCGGGGAGGTAGAGGCCGGGGGAATGTCAAGGGGAGGGGGGAAAAGGAGACATATGTAATACTCTTTGTAATACTTTAAGAAATAAAAATTAGAAAAAAATAAATAATAAACGGGTATTGGTTGGTACTATTTATTTTTATTTTCGTCATCATAACTATAGTGACAAACTCACATTTCTACTGAGCCTCAGAGTTTTACAAAGTTTAAACATGTAAACCTTCACTGGACGTAAGAAAGTCGTGTGTTATTTTCACCATTCCATTTTAGAGATGAGAAATCTGAGATTAGAAAGGCTAAGCATTGTTCTCCAAATCTCACAACTATCAAGTGATGAAGCCAGAACTCACACCCCGCTTTGCCGAATCCCATCTGCCCATTTCTTTCCTATGTCACTCCGCTGTCCTTCCAGCATCAGAGTTGGGACTGGAGGAGGTCTCAGAAAACATCTAGCTTGAGCCCTTCCTTATGTGGATGGGAAAATGACCGCCCCCCCCCTCCAAGCATTGCCCAGATCACATAGTGCTTTGGAGAAGGGCCATCTTTCTTGATTAGCATCTGAAACCCTTTGCCGCCCCCAGTCATCAGATCCTAGGCATCCAGGGCAGCCCTGAGGAAGTGGTCAGAGCATTCATTCCCAGCATGAAAAATAGGGGTTCTTTTTGGTAACGTGAGCATTTTAATACCATTGCTTTCCTGCAAGCCAACTATTGTGGCATTGCAATAAAAGTTAACCAACATCCTCTCCATCAATAAGTTATTGTCATAGCGAGAGGGTCCCTTTAACGTCCGCTTGGTACGACTTTGGTTTCGGCTGCTGATAATGTGTTCCTTCCGTGGGAAAGGGGAGCCCCTTGCAGCTGCCCTCCCCCCACCCCATTATTCTCCTGTTCAGCACTTCCATGAGCCACGGGGTGTGGCTAGAACACAGGAGGTCGGCATTCACACGTGGCTTCTGGAAACAAAGAGGAGCGAGGACGAGTCGGACCCCAGTTCCTCTGGCAGCCCCGGCGGAGTGAGGTGTGCGGTGAGGCGGCGGTGACTCTCATGCACTTCACAACACGGCCCAGCAAGAGCCAGCTTCGCGCAAAGAACAGGGACCACGTTCTGTGTGGTCAGCTCTCCAAGCCTGGCCTAGTTATGGAAAACGCAGGGAGGAAGCGACTTGAGGTAGGAAATGTGTCTGTCCATCCCATACCCGAGGGGGCGATTGCCTTGCTCATCAGAATAGGGACATTTCGCCCGGCTGCGGTGGCTCAGCGGCTGAGTGAACCAACGGGCCGCCTGTTTGATTCCTGGTCCGGGCACAGGCCCGGGTTGCAGGCTTGATCCCCAGTGTGGGGCGTGCAGGAGGCAGCCCATCAATATTCTCTCTCGGCATTGATGTTTCTATCTCTCTCTCTATCCCTTCCTCTCTGAAATCAATAAAAATATATTTTTTTAAAAATAGGAACATTTCTGCCAAGGGCTTCCCATACCAGCTCCACACTATACACCTCTCCTCTTGGCTGCATTTCCGAAAGGCAGCTCCTGGCTCTCCAATAGGACAGTTCTCTGCCACCTCAGAGCCCTCACACCTTCCTCTTCTCACCTGTGACTCTCCGTCCGTACCTGGCTGCCTCTCACGCTCTCAAAAGTGTTTTCCTCCAGCGCCGTATCGAAAAGAGGCCCCTTGGCCTGTTTCTTACAGCCACGTCCTGTGCGATTCTCTGATGGCGCTGCTCACACTTTCACACCACTTATTTGCTGCTGCCGTAAATATTCTACCCCTCCGCTAGACTTTAAGACCCAGGAAGCTGGGCAACGTTCAACCCTCAAGGTCGGTGCCTAGAAGATGCTCAAGGGGCTGAGCACCTGTGCACCTGTGCGGGCCCAACAGGCTCGGCCTGTCAGCGAGGGGATGACTGAGGCCATGACTAAGGAGTTCCACTGAAGTGGAAAGTTTAGGAGGAAAAAAATCTAGCAAGGTGACAGTAAGCTGTGCCAATAAAATACTGACTGAAACCCGAAAATTCATTGGTGAACATTTGTGTCATTCCAAGGTCAGAAGTAGCCTTTGGAATAAAACGGGTTTAAATCTTCTCCATGTGCCCCCACAGCTCTGAATTGTCTGGCTTGTGGGTGTCTGTACTGCATGCGCATCCTGTCCCTCCCGGTGGCAACAATCACTCAACACCTGCTCTCCCAAACCTGCCCATTACTTCTGTGACGTGCTCAGCTCTCTCCTGCAAGTTATGGCTTAGGAATTTTACCAGAAATTCTAAGCTACTTTTCAAGGTATTTTTCTTAGGCAAAAAAACAGTTCCATCCCTAAGAGATAGTCTGGTGCTATGAACATAATGCATCGCTTCACTTTGCTGCATTCGTTAAGGTTCATTTGGTCAGGAGTGAAGACTCCCAGTGAAGCTGAGGTGAGCAGGTTAAGGGATTTAGCACAGGAATGCTGTGGTTCCTAATGGAACTCGTGGGAGAACTGAATAATCGGGCCTGGGGGCAGCGTCTCAGTGAAAACACACAGCCTCTGAGGACCACAGACAATTTCCACAGGAGGGTAATCCGCGTGAGCCGGCCAGACGCGCCCACAAGTGTCTGTGATGTGACCCGCTGAGTGCACGTGATCAGGGCCCCTCCCCTCAGAGATAGTGGTTCAGGTGGGTCGTGGACCCTAGACACTTCGCAGTATGCAGAGCACTTTCACATATAACCATTTTCAATTGAAAGAAAATAAGCCTGCAGTCATTGCTTCACTTAAACACACACACACACACACACACACACACACACACACACACACACACACACACACACACTCCTACTCCATTACCACTCAAGTCAGATGTGGATGGGAGGGAGTAAGAAGTCATTAAAATTCACTTTTAAACTACTCCTGCCAGACCTAGCAGGTTTGGCTCAATGGACAGAGAATTGGCAGGCTGAAGGGTTCAGGGTTAGATTCTGGTCAAGGGCGCGTACCTTGGTTGTAGTTCTATCCCCAACCCTTGTCGGGGTGCATGTGGGAGGCAGCCGATCAATGTGTCTCTCTCACATTGATGTTCCTCTCTCTGTGTCACTCCCCCTCCCTTCCACTCTCTCTAAAAATCAATGGAAAAATATCCTCAGATGAGGGTTTACAAAAACTAAAAACACAAACTACTCATACCAGAAATTATATTAACCTTTGAAGTGATCATCTTAAAAGCCTATATATTCTAACATTGTCATTCTTAGCATTTTTATGCATCCATTATATACCCCTGTGAGATATGTAGTAAATATTTAACTTCTATAAAATATGAGATATAGTTTTTATTTTCATTATCTTATAGAGAACTGAGGCTCAGAAAAATTAAATAGCTCATCTAAGATTTCACGT